ACCTTTTAATGCTGGCTAGCTTGGCTCTCTTTGTATGGTGTGGGACCCTAACATTGATCTATACATCAACCACAAGGCTTCAGCCTAGCCTCTATTACAAGGCCTGGCTGAATTCATTGCAGAATACAGTGAACCCCTAAGTCCATGACTATGGGTTCTTAATGGGCCCAACATTTACACTAAATGGTCATTGGGTCCAGCCATTTTATGAAGGCCCAAGGACTGTGGGCAAATGCAAGATTAGCCCATCAGGTATAATCCCTCAATGGTCTTACACTTAACCTCTCAGCCCTTAATGATCAAACACTGCCCAACAAGGGAGGACCTCTCCCTTGACTGTAAGGTACAGTGTTGCACTCTCTACTCACATTGATCCCGGGAATTAAAACCTTTTTGCAAACAATTTGAAACCATAATATATAAGTATATATTTGTATAAATATATTTTGCAAAACCAAATTTCAAACACATTTGAAATCCATTGCCGGTAGTTTAGGTTTCCATCAGAGAGTGCATTTCCCCGATCATTCACTTTGTCTGACAAAGGGGCTAATCCTGTCACTTTGATCACCCACTCAAGTGAATTCTCGGACTGTCCCAACATACCCAGGTTTTAACCCCCTCTAAAGATCTCATTGATTGGCATATCAAAGACAACCCAATCTGAGACCTAGTGCAGTATCATAATCGAGTCTATGGGTCAGGTGTAACATTCTAGTTTTGCCCATCTGTCTCCAAGGTCTAGGGCAATACTGGAATTTTGGTGCAATTCAGGGTTTCAAGAAAACTCACACTGCATGTACCTCAGGTCTCACCCTGGCAGCTGAGACAAGCCACCCCAACCAACTTGGCAGCACATCAGTGTTACCTCGGTTGCTTAGGCAATCTCGAGCTACTCAGACCTCGGTCCTTACCGAGGTGCCCTGACTCGCTGAAGTGACAGGGAATGCTGATGTGGTCAGAAGAAGCTGAGTCATAGTCCAATCAGCAGGTCGTATCCACGTGTCCGTTGTTTAGTAGGTCGGGCCAAATTACCCCTCATCAGGTGGGTGGGTCAAGTGGGCTGGGGTCAAAATTGTCAGCCCTACTTGCACATTGGTTTATGTTGGTTGAACCTCAAGCCCTAATCCAATGCAAAGTAAATTGGGCCAACCTTTTAGAAGGCGGATGAGATGAGGCATGAAGTGTACACCTTTTAGCATGACAGAATGAATTCCCTTGGCACAAACTAATACAATGTGAACCAAATTGTTCCAATTCCTTTTCAATCTAGGCTTGGATTTGGGTTGCCTTGACTCAACCCAAATCTCTCTCTCTCTCTCTCTCTCTCTCTTGCCAAAGTGACAGCTTGAGGGCCTGTTTGGTTCATGGGAATAGAGGTTTGGAATTGGAATCAGAGTGGACTGTTCCCCATTCTGGCTCCAACTGTTTGGTTGGGTGAAATCTGAATCCCATTCCCATTCTTGGTGGAATGACATTCCCCCATTTGAGAAAATATACATTCCCTCCCCTCCCTTGGAAAAGAAATTCCATTCCAGTTGATTTTAATTTCCACTTTAATTCCTGTTTGAACCAAATAGACTATGGGATTAAATCATTCTGATTCCAATTCCAATGAATTCCGATTCCGATTCCAAACCGACCTTGAGATTTTACCATTGCACTAATTAAGTTGCTCCTCTTATGGTGTTGGATAGATTTGATACTCTAAAAACAGAATTCCCTTCATAACCATCATCATGTTGACCTGGTTCAAAGGAACTTTCACTACATTTATCCTCTAGGCTATAATCAACAAATTTGTAATTCTAGAATTTCACAATAGTAGAGTTTTAACAACTTCTAGCTGTTTTCAAGATTAAGAATTTCCCTTTCCACTTGGCTTGGTCTTTTTGCATATGTAGCTGTTAGCTGTCTTTRATTCTTTTTTTATATGACAATTTTAGATGATGATAATGATAATTTTATTATTCATATCAAAATCCACATAACAAAAGACAAAAGATGGAGCTATAAAAACATGGAATAGTGGTCGGTTGTTGCCTTTGTATCTATAGACCCATTTTCAAGTTTTCCCACTTATGGTTTTCCAAATTGTAATCGAACCTGATAGCCAAATTAATTGATCTGTCACAAGGCTAGATGGCTCTTTTCTTTATTTATTTACTTTCTTTTTGGAGCCAACTTAGAAAATAAAAGGAGATATAAATAAAGGAATGTCTACCTTCTTCGCTTCTTCTCTTATTTGAGAAGGAAAGTAGGAAATGGAAGGCATTTTCTTGCCGAAAGGAAGAGGCTGCAATCCAACATGCTTGAAATTGCTGAAACTGGAAAGGAGATCCAGAGAACCACTCATTTCTTTCTCCCTACGACTCGTCGTTTCATTTCTCTTTGTCTCCCAATCGATCAGATTCTGCTCATAAGACTGCTTTGAACCAGCAAACATCACTAATACCTTTGATTTTAAGGATAAAAATCTTTGATGTTTGTCTAGGTAAAAAGAGGAGCACATGAATACATGTGGCAGGCAGCAGATGATTAGCTTCCAACATTTTTATGGGCCCCCATCTGTGATATCAAGAATATCAGGAATGCAGTGGGACCCATCAAATATTGTGGGTCCAAGACCATTAATATTTATTAAATATGATCTATATATATTGAAACTTGGCCAATGTCTGATCAAATGGTGAGCAATTCTATTAAATTTGGAGTGAAGCTGAGAAAATATGAAAATAATACATTGGCCAGATGATTTGATGCATGTTAATGTATGCCTAATTGTGGAGAACCCTTCTTAGGTGGGACCAGTCCAACTAAGCATGCGTAATATACTAATATCTCTCTTTGTGACTTTGTGGTCCTGTTGCGGACCCAATATTTTGTCTGCAAATTCAAACTTGCTATGAACCGGCAAAAGGAATGAACCGCTTCTTTCATGTTAGAGTTCATATTAGTCACTTTTTTCTGCTTTTCCTTTTTCTTTCTTTTTTATCCAAGGCGCCCATTTTTGCTTTTATTAAGTGTTTTTATGTACAGATAGGTTGATAAATTGAATATTACTTTTATTTTAGCTAATGATGACTTATCTTATACCGAAGAAGTTTGTTATTTCATGTTTGCTGGATTGTGTCTGGATTTTGAAATCCCTTTTGTCATAGCAGAAGATGCATACAATTTGGAATAGAGCACAATGCTATCTGATAGGGTCTATAGATTGATAATACAATTGGGCATGATTCATGAGAGAGAGAGAGAGTAGGTATACAAACATGATGGATTCTAGGTACCTAAAAAGTCTAAATCTATACAAGAATAAAGGGCTGATGAAGATAAAAACATTGTCCCAATAACCATTCAATTTGGAATGCTTAATCTATAATAATCATCCTTTAAATGGGCAAAAAAAAACAAAAAACAAAAGAGAAGGGAAAGAAGAAAAAGAAGAAAGGCCTCAAATATTGTTCATAAGTTAGTATGTGTTTAGAACTATGGATGTTTATTAGTTAACCGCCACATCAGAAAAATAGTGAATAACGTTTACTTGTTGGAGAAATGCTAAAATGAAAATTCTCCCAATGGTAAGTATACACATAGACCGAAATTTACTTTTACAAATCCCTATGGATACAGATTCACATAATGGAAGAAATGTTAAAATATTACCTATGTAGCAACATTTATTTAATAAACACCCACGACTCCAACCACGCTTAATGGTGGGTTCAAAAACCAAGGAACAACAAAATGGTCTTTACTGATTAAACCTGTAGTTTATCTAACCTAGACTAAGGTCCTAAGAGAATAATTTAAAGGGGAATATGAACCTAGGAGATGATCCAGAAACAGCAAGGATTGCCTTTTCTTCTTAATCTACATAAAATTATATAAATCCATGGAGTAAAGCATTCCCTAATCCATCCTATATATGGTAATCAGACATTTGAACCAATAGATGGGTTCACCCAACTTTTCCACACGTGGGGTTAATATGGAGGGTGTTAAATGTTAACTTGTTAAGGGCCCCTATAGGCTATATTTAATCTATAATACTGTTAGTGGTCTTACTATTATAAGTGAACAGTATAACATCACATCATCAATAGCTTTTTTCATTGATATTGGGAGATTTGAAACCCAATTTGCGTATACTTTCGGTCCAAATAAATGAATTGGTAGAAGTGTTCATTATATGGTCTAAACAAACCAAACTGAAATTGGTGGTTTGGTCCGGTCTAACCTTGAAAACAGTTTGGTTTGATTTTCTAAATTTCAGAAACCAGACTAAATCATAAATATTTATTCATTTTACATTTTATATATTGGTTTGTTTATGTTTAAGAAAGTGTGAATGTAAATGATAATAGATAGCATTTGTTATTTGTTAACATTTCAATTTAATATTTGAATTGTATTTTTTATTATATTATTTATTGCCTTCTAATTGGGTTAAACCCAATAGAATGATCTAAACCATATTAAAAACAGGGCCAAACCATACCAAAATAGTCTGGTTTGATTTAATTTACATAGTATAATAAATTGATTTAATCTAAAAGTTTCTCAAACCATAACATAATTTACTGATTTAATCTAAATCTCCTCCTTCCAATGAAACCAAACCGGACCGTAAACACCATTTTGCTCAGTCCCATCCCGGCCTTCAAGTTTCAACTCTCTCTTATGATAATCCCAGATCTTAACAAATCCCTGTTGGTTGGATTTGGATTAGCCATTCTGATCCGATCAGACCACTTGTCGCCCTTGCATTGATTGAAGGACGGAACTTATAATATCATGAGAAAGTAAGCTTGAAAGAAATGTAGTCAATATGTCGCGATAAATTGGAACTCCAGAGACCGAAAGAGACGAGAGATGCAACCGTCCTGAATTTGTATGAGTTCTGAAAATTTTACTCACTTTATGTAATTATTTAAATCCACCGCCACGATCTGCCAAGTTCAAAGTACTAAGTTCGCATCCGTGCAAACTGCATTCTTATTAAAGTTCACCAAAGAACCAAAACAAATGTAGCTTATGCAAACCACCAGCCAGATTTCCAAAGCTCCTGCATTTACACGCTTTCTCCTGTCACAGTCATTGCCTGATAGCTTAACTGTTCTAGGCTTTAGGTATTTGTTTCCGGCTTCAACCAAACAGATACACAAGCGAAACAGAGAGAGAAAGAGAGAGGTGAGGGGGAGGAGGCAAGGTATTCGTTGGTATGGTTTTAAGGTTGTCTGCACTGCCTGTGTGATCGACTGTGTGTGGGAGAGAGAGAGAGTTGAAGGTTTTTATAGAAGGGCTAGGTTTATCTGCGATGAGAAAGATAATATGGATTTTGCAGAGTCTTTTAGTGATGGAATGCTATCTGGGTATGTTTTCAAGTCCTCTCTTTTGTTGTTTTTTTTAGGAAAGCTTTCAAGTCCTCTCTGGGTTCTCTATCCTGTACTCCATTTTTTATTAGTTGTATATTCGGTTTCTTGTAATATTGTTCTCAGATGGGTCCAATGTGTTTTTGTATTTGGTAGTTTTCTTCATTCTAGTTTTAGTGCTTCTGTGTTATTTCTGCACTAGCTATCTTTCTTATGTCGGAACCTAGGAGGTGCAGATGTCTGTTAGAAGTAAAATGTATGTCTTTCTTCCTTGTGCCATGCCTTTCAAGATGGCATATTTTGCGTATCTTTAACTCTGTTCTTATTGTAGGTTTTTTAGTTTGATCAGAACGAAACATTCCTGAAGTTCTTCTATTCTATGCTTGCATAGTTATTTTCTAAATAATTCCTATTATTTACTATTTCTGTTCTCATATTAGCTCTAGAGGCAAGATGATCTTGTTTTGTGTCTTTGGTGGTCATTCTGAGCTATCTTGCCCCTAGACTGAAAATGAAAGATGTTTCCTTGAGGTCCATCTCTTCTATCTTATTGTTGTATTTTCCTTGCTCTAATTCAAAATCTAAATCTAAGGAAATAATCATGAATCAGAGATACTCAATAGGAAATAAAAGATGGTTATTATATATAATATATATCTTCTCCCCTTTCTCAGTTTCCCTCTTACTAATAAAAAGTCTGATGATGCGTTGATCTCCATTAACATCTTGCTACTTCACTCTTCAACCTGTGGATGTTAGCATTATACCGGTGGTTCTGGTTTGAGTCTATGTTAAGTAGGGTCCAAAGATACAGTTTATGCAATAATGAAACTTGTTATGTTCTTCAGCATTTGCTAATTTTGTTTTCTATTATTATTTGGGTACACAAAATTCAGTTTGTTCTGGAGCAAGAATCCAAGAGAAGGAAGAGGCTGTGAATCCAATCCCAACCTTGTCACCTCCAGAGGGAAACACAACATTTCTTGGGGGCACAACATGGTGTGTTGCTTTGCCTGGGGCCTCACAGATTGATGTTCAGAATGCATTAGATTGGGCTTGTGGACTGGGGATGGCTGACTGTGGCCCGATACAATCTGGTGGAGTATGCTTTGAACCTGATACTCTCCTGTCCCACGCCTCCTATGCCTTCAACAGCTATTACCAACAGAATGGCAACTCTGATATCGCTTGCAACTTTGGAGGAACAGCTACTGTTGTCACAAGAAACCCAAGTATGTATCAGCCTCATACTTTGTCCTCGTAACTTCATGCAGTGTTTCTTACTTTCTTCTGAGGCTCCGATTGCATTCAAACAGTAGGTCTGAACCATAGGATGATGCCAAATCCTAGAGACCTGATAGCTAGCTAGCATCTACAGTTCTGAAATTTCTTTATTGGAGGTTAACTTCTCATCTGCTCTATCATTGCTAGTCTGAAAGTCTCCCTTAACCACAAAGAGGGTTGTTTGCCTTCCTTAGGATGGATTTTGCAGATAGATGGGTTTGTGCAGCTTTTACATTAGACTTCCCAAAGGGTTTTATACTAATCAATCTCCATGTTATTCTATGATTTCAGGCTATGGAAGCTGTCTCTATTCTGCATCAGGGTATGTCTGTCATGCCCATTTCTTTTTAACTTTGAGACATCCAAAAAATCTCTAGTTACATATATTCTCTCTAATTTTGCTTTGCTTACATGGTGCAATTTCAGACCAGTAAACACGGCATCACTGTTACTGTCCAAACCAAGCTTTATTTGGTGGAAACTTTTTGGAACACTGCTCCTTTTGTACTTGAGAAGCTGACCAAAGCTGAGTCTGAGTGTGAGTATGATTCCTTTTGGTGCTGGATGGGCGTACACTGTGCATGCTGGGACTTGTTAATTAAAATACTGAGCAGGAGAAAGATGTCTTGGAGTTGAGGTATGGTTGGGATAAGGCCTCGTAGAGACGCGGTTAGAGGTTGGTAGTCCCAATTGTAATTTGCTAGAGTATTCCTTTCTTTATTGTTGAGTCAAGTATCTATGCTGTTAAATCCTTCTCTTTTTCCCTTTTCGGGGAAATAAAAATGTATGGCTGCTTGTTCCCTTTTCTTTTCTGGTATTAATTAATCCTTTTTTGCTTTGGATAGCTTCTTGTTGCCAAAGATTTTCTCCTTGACTGTCTTGGGTGCTGCTTTGCTTGGTTTCCGAGAATGGTTGGAGCATTGGAATATATTGTTAGATTGATGTTTAGGTTAATTAAACTAATTTCTATGGCTCTATCATCATAAGGTTTCATATATAAATAAACTAATTATATCTATTATCACGAGCAGGGCTCCATTCTTGAGGGTGCAAACTCGGGTTGAGTTGAAAATTTGTTAAATTTTAAATGGATCCAAACCCTAACCTGAACCCAGTGTGTAGTGGAAATTCTTCAAGCCGGGCAACCCAACTTACATCACTATATAATCATTCTGGACAAGGCCTAGAGCTACGCTAGCCGGGATTATGGACAGAGTACAGGTCCAAGGCTCATCCAGGCCTCAGGCCTTGAAATCCAAGTTATGCTGTCGTATCGACCTGTGTTGGTACATTTTTTAGTTTTATTTATTTTTAGTCGAAACCAATACAGAGGGGTGTCAGTTTAAGGCCTCACTACCCTCGAAACCGGTGGTTAACCCGATCCAATCCCTGAAGGGGAGTATCGGGCCGAATACGTATCGATACTTTCATTATCACAGTTTCAGAAATTCAATTTTAAGCGGTTGGATTGGGATGCATTGGTTTAGACTACATGTCAATTCTTCACATGGATAAGGTAATAATAGTAGGGAAGCTCACATAAAAATGAGTACTCTTTGATTACCATTTACCAGCGGAGGGTTGTCTCCTTGTGTTTTCTTTAAAAAAAAATGGGATATCAAATCAGGTTCACATTCCGAATTTCCAGTCAGGTTCAAATGAATTCAGATCTAATCAGATTATATTTGATAATTTAGATCCCAAAATCTGGTTTTACGCTAAGGAGACGTTCTTAAGTTCTTTTTGTGTGGTCTTTTAGGCTTTGAAAAGCCTAGAAGACCAAAATTTCTTCTTTTTTGTTTGGCAATGAAAGATAAGAAGACAAAAGACATATTCCTTAAGGCCAAAATCTGGTGCATGTCTTTCTGCATCTAAAATCTTTTATTTAATAGTTCTATCCATCATGATAGACTAGAGGGCCATTTGACAAGTCTTTTTTGAAAGATTTTCTGGAAGCTCTAATAGTCAAAAGAGATAATGAGCTTTTGCATTAAGATCTTGACAGTTTGAAGACCATTTGGTTAAGGCGTGTCTTTTGGTGCGTCTTTCTCTGTGAAGACGAGTTGAAAAAAAAAAAAAACCAAAAAGCTTCATTTGAAGTTTTTCCAAAAATCGCTCAAAACAGGCTTCGCATGTCTTTTCGGCGTAACTTCTTTTGACAGCTAGATCTTTTCCCAAACAAATAAAAAAGACAAAAATGTGAACTATTAAACTTCTAAAAAGATAACAACCCACATAAAAAGATGCGCCACACAAGGCCTAGGATATTTACCAAATAGTCTTACATCTAAAAAAACACCCATTCAATCAGTTGCTTTGCATTCATGGCTGGCTTAGGGTTAAGGGCTTATTATTGGTTACACAACCTATTTCACATTCATCTTATTTAGCTAATCCGGTCACGATTACTTGCACCCCTAAATATGCAAATGGATTGTCTTTGGATCTAGTGTTGGGATGCCTAAATCAGAATTAGCAGTTGAATCGGTAAACTGTTGAATTTTATGGGCAAGATGATCCAACTAACTCTGATGGTTACACCGTCAAATTGTGAACCAATGATTTTGTTTCTTTAAAATGAAACAAGTGCCACATTATGCATGTTGGCCAATTGCCAAACCTCCTTAATCATTATTGATGAGGTCCACACTACTACGTGTCTTGGATCGACCAAAAAGCTCCCTATGTGTAAGTCATAACCAAATAAGTATGCATCTCCGAGAACCTTAAGTTGGCCTTGATAGTCGTCTCCCAGTACGACGACTAGGACCCCTCGATAAGCATGGCATCTCCTCTATACAAGTGTGGCATACTCAAAAAAATGTACGCATAATACAATACCCTCTAGCCTCCTTGTTTTCTTACTTTGCTTGTTAATCAGCCTCCTTTGCTTGGTTTGGAAATCTCCTAATTACGTACTGACTTAAGCATTGGAAAATTCACCCTAGGGACACACCTTGGTACTATCTGTTTTCTTACAAGTCTTTGAAAGTAGCTCGGCTTGTTCGCTCACTTCGGTTCACCCTCTTCCCTCCTCTTTATCTATTACCCGAATTTAGACTACAATTGATTAGTGTCGTTTGTGGGAACTGATGCGTATTTCTTACACTAGCAAGTGCACTAGTCGATCAAGTAATAAAGTGATGAGTAAAGTATCATTCCCACGAAGATTTATCCAACAACTACTAGTAATAAATCAGTCGATTGTTATTTGATAAACCGAATTCTTAACCTAATCAAAATCTGAATTCCTAACTAGCAAACTATCCTAATCAATTCGGATCAAACCACCTTCATGTAGAGAGAAGCAGTGCTGTATAAGAACACTAACAGATTCGGCCCAGCAATTAATTCATGAATTTATTCAATTGAATTGGGATTCAGCCATGGTTTGGTGAAACCCTAATGGCATGAGCAGCCTCTCTCGAACACAACTCATCCTATCCAAGGGTGGCAATTCTTATATCTCTATCAAGAATTTAATCCCCATGGATGCATTAAGAGCAAGCAATTCGAAGGGCATCAATTCAAATTTGAATGAACACTAACCGAATCACACAAATTATTTCTAAGATGTGTTAGATTCGATTATTGATTAGCAGATCTGATTACCTAAATTCTTTCTCAAGCAATTCAGACAATCCAAGAATCAAGAACAATTCGGCCAAGACTGTTCTAACAATTAAAACCCTAACCAAGAAGCATCAAGAATGAATCCAATCAATCGAACAACCCTAGAGAACTAATTATAGATTTGAAACATCATCAATCACGGTTCGAATTCTAGCAAGAAAGAGAAATTAATTGACAAAATTGCATGAAACCCTAGCTGAATTCGGTTACCAATTGCGCAGAACCAAAGAAGAAGACAACCTAGAATTCTGCTTCAATATTGAATTTCTTGGATGTGATTCTCCTCCAATTCGCATTCAGCAACCTTCTTCTTCCTCTAGATCTTCTCTTTTCTCCTTTCTCGCACCTCTCTTCTCTCCTTTCTCCTTTTGGGGGTTCGAACCCTTTTCTCCCCTTTCTCTTCTCCTTTTATACTTTTCTCTTCAGTCCTCTCTCTTCTAAAAGGTAGTCGCCTTTAGGACCCCTTGGGCGGCAACTTGGGCCTCCCACTTGGTGGACCGAAAGGTCTCCCTTGGAGAGTCTCAGCTGGGCTCTCTTCTTCGTGTCCCCCATGGGGCTTTGCTTCTTTATGGGCCGAAAGTTCCCTCCTTATGACTCTCAGCTGGGCCTGTCTTCTAGATGGGCCGAATTGCTTTCACATTTTCCCTCTCAACATGGTTTTATGCTATCTTCCCCCTAAGTTGATCCACACTCTTGAATTCCTAAAATAATTCTCAATTAGGGTGAGAAACCATGCAAATTATCATCAAAGCCATGCATAAAACAATAGAAATGGTTTGTAGCTTGTGGACACATCAAACTCCCTCACACTTAAGCTTTTGCTTGTCCTCAAGCAAAGATATCACCCATAAACTGATCAACCCCCAGATTATTACCATCTACCTGATGAATTTTAGGATGAGAATGCATTAAGTGGTTGGAAAACCTGCATAATTATTCTGATTTATTCCTATGATTAGCCATTCTTACCACATACATAAGAGCAAAGGAAGGGAGAATATGAGATCCTTCATGCAACAACATTCACTTCCATTCAATATATATAGCAGCTCCTTGACCGCCAATATTAACCATTAGTTTGAGCTCGGTCTCAATCTGTTAGTGCATCTAATTGAATGTTCAACCACATTTTGTCCCTTCGAACCTCAGTCGTCACCGAATTCTTTTCTTTTCCCTTTTTTTTGGTGTGAGTACATTTTATGTTCCATCTCACACTAGGCACTTTCTTCTTTCTCTTTTTTTTTTTTTTTTTTTGGTTTTTTTTTTTTTTTTGGTGTGAGCGCATTATGCTCCACCTCACACTAGTCACAGGCGAGAGGCAGATAACAATACTCATATTCCAAGTTGCTAGTTTTACTATTCAGCTTGGAATAGCGGAGTTGGGACTGAACTCATATCATATACCGCTAGTTTTACTATTCAGTTCATGACAATGGAGTCATTTGAACTTTGTCCCTTTCTCTTTTTTTTTTTCTTCTGCAATTGTTGAACTCCATGCATTAACGGTTCAGATATGGACTAATAGCTTGAATGATCTTTAAGATGTCAATCAAGTGCATTATACACATGAAGAGAGTTAGGGCTGGTCATGATGAAAGTCCTATTCAACTTCCTTAACCTCATGCAATGTGATAAATTTGGATCATTCACAAGAATAAATTCTAACACTTACAGTGATTTCCCTCAACTTATTGTATTCCCTCTTGAAATTCACCTTATAAACAGCAATAATCTTGAGGTAATTTCAGTTTATTCGGCCTATCAATGCATGTACGTGTTGGAGTGATTGAGGTGCATAGCTATGGCCTAACTCCCCCACACTTAACATGAACATTGCCCTCAATGTTCCTAGTGAGAGAATGTGAAGATGAATCCAGCAATGAGGGTCTTTTCCTGAAGAACATTATCTAGTAATGAGAGGGGTATAGAGGACTTTCTTGAAGAATGTTCTGAAATCTAGAATAACTCCCTTGTTTGGAACCTCTAGTTGCTAAGAACCACAAGAAATTGAATGGAGAGAATGATAAACACTCAGAGAGATCAGCAATCTACCAAGTTAATATCCTAGACAAGAAACTTGAATGAGACAGAAAAGAAAAGCAGAAAAACAAATGAAAATAAAAACTACTCATCAGTATTGGGTTACATCCCAATAAGCACTTGTTTTCAGTCTGAAACTCGACCTTCCAATAGGATCACCGGTCGTCTAAGTAT